CTTTTAGTGCGTCGGGACGAGTTTTAGACGATAGAAGAACAAGACTAAAACCCGAAACACTTGAAATTGTGTTTGCTTCAAGGATTGGTTGGATGCCGAACTCGTTCTCAAGATCGTACTTATGCACAAAACGACAACGATGAAGGAACGTCGACTTGTTTTAGTTCTCATACTTCTCAATCAACTCAATTGGCGGATGAACTTGAACCTCTAGGAGACGAAGACGAAGACGAAGATGAAGTCGAAGGCGAAGACGAAGACGACCAATAATAATTAATTACATGATTACATATTTACATTATACACTATTGTATTCTTTTTGTATTATCGAACTTCGTATTCCGTATAATAAATTAAGTCATTCAATATTCATACACTATTGTACGATTTTTAATTATCATTACTTATTTTGTATTATTGAATTATCGTACATTCGTACCGGCTACCGTCATATAATAAAATAAGTTATTCTTCAGCTTTTTGTGTTTTCGGATTATCGCACTCGTACTTTTTTTTATTATATGTATTGTTGTTTTTTGCTAAATTAATAAAATTGTTTTTATTTGTTTAAATAAACTTAAACATAATTATTAATTAGATAAATAATTTATATAGCCTAAATTAAAATAAAGTTTTTCAAAAAATGAAAACAAAATATATTAACATTAACATAAACATAAATTAATCACATATATTATGTTGTACTAAAAAAAATATATATCGTTTAATTCCGTTTTTTTTTCATTTATTAAAAAAAAAGGTGGCATGGTTTGGCCCGCGGCCCGGCACGGCACGACCCGCAAGGCACGTGGGCCGTGCCGTGCCGTGGGCTGGGGTGCGCCAAATTCAGGCACGGCCCCCACCCCGGCACGGCCCGTGCCCATGTTTAGATACAACTATTCAAGTATTTGAAGGTTTAATTTTGACTGATTTACAGATATTTTGTTTTTAAAGAAAAACTTACAAAACAAACCCATAAACCGCTAGTTGAAGTAGCGGTTTGTTGCTGGACCGAGAAAAAAAAATCGGTTTGTTTTCCTTAGCTGACGTGGACGGTATAATGGGAATTAAAAAAAGAGTAGCTTTAATTTGGGAATTAGATAATTTCCCAACATTATTTAGGGAAAGGGCTCATGAATTACATCATCTTGTATTTATTTATAATTATGGCCATTGAGTTTCATTTTTATACAAGACTTCAATATTTCTATTAAAAAAGACTTTTATACGTCCTTTGTTTTTTTAGCAACACTTCACTTTTCACGCTTGCAGATTCATTATTTCAATTGCTAATATCTTTAATTACTAATATGTAAAAAATATAAACATTGGATATTAATATGAAAAAATCAAGATTATATTTTAACTTAGATATTAATCTTTAAAGCTAGTCAAAGCGAAACAAGCTAAGTGAATAGTGTAAAAGTCAAACTATTGCAAGTATAGGAGGAATTGGTATTTCAATTACGGGGTATTATTAATTCTAAGAATCGGACGTGGCTAAAAAAAAATTAGTTCTCGCTCTATCTCCAAGGTCTTGTTCACTTCACCTTAATAATAATATTCAGTAAAAATTATTTCAATATGAGTAAAAATAATTTTATTTAGCAAAATAATTTCAGTTTAGTAAAATTAATTTTACTTCAGTAAAACAAATTTAAATTCAGTAAAAATAATTTCTATTCAACAAAAATAAAGAGAAGTGAATGGCCTGGTACCCTATCTATTTACTTGCTAAAAGCCTAAAAATTTCTTAATGAAAAATTTAGAGTTTTTTTTTTCTTAGGAAAGAACTTGTAGAGAATATATAAATTAATATATCTTCATCTTTTTACAGGAAAAAAAAAATCTATTTATGAACCATACTTTGAACAACCTAAATCCACACTGATTGTACATCATCTCGAGAGTTTAAACTATAAATACTACTTCCTCTATTTTTTTTACTTGATCTGTTTCTTTTATCACGCTTGCCAATGAAAAACTTTAACGATCAATAACATAAATTCTCCATAAGTAAAAATTATAAAAGTTATATATTATGATAGTACTTATTGAGAGGAATCCAAAAAAATCATACATGAATATATTTTTCCTTACATATTATTCACAAAACACGGTCAAAGAATGAGTAGTGAATACTGTAAAAGTCAAAGTAGGTCAAGTAATAAAGAACGGAGGAAGTAGGTTTTTATTATTTTAGGGTATAGAGTATAACTGTCAATTCGGGTAAATGGGTCGGGTTTGATTTGAGTTAGAATGGGTCGGGTCAATTTAGGTTAATCCTGTAACCTATGGGGGTCGGGTTCGAGGTGGGTCATTCTTGAGTCGGGTCATGTCGAGTTTTACATGTTATCGGGTTTGGGTCGGGCTAAGGTTGGGTTAATAACAAGTCGGGTTACATTCGGGTCGGGTGAATAATAGGTCGGGTTTAATTCGAGTTTTCACGGGTTAGGGTCATTCTCGGGTTCGAGTCGAGTTTGGTTCAAGTCAATAATTTGCGGGTTAGAATAAGGTCAGTTATTCTCGGGTTCGATTCAAGTCAATAATTTGTGGGTCATAATGTAGTCGGGTCATTCTCGGATTCAAGTCGGCTTCAGTTCAAGTCAATAATTTGCGAGTTATAATCAGGTTGGGTCATTCCAAGTCGGGTCATTCTTGGGTTCAAGTCGGCAAGTCATAATTTGCTGGTTATCATCAGGTCGGGTCATTTCTAAGTCGGGTCATTCTCGGATTCAGTTCAAGTCAATAATTTTCGGGTCATAATCAGGTCGGTCCTTTCCAAGTCTTGTCATTCTCGGAATAATTTACGGGTTATAATAATCAAGCTGAGTCATTTCCAAATAGGGTCATATTCGGATTCGGGTATCAAAATATATATTGGGTTGATCTGGGTTTAAGGTTGATATTAAGTCGGGTCATATCGGGTTCAGTTACATTTTTGAGTCGATTTGTTAACAGTTCATGTAATGACATCCACGTTTAATCATTATCAATTTCTTCATTTATTGTAAGAGAAATAATTTCAGAGAAGTTAATTTAAATTGGAGCTAATAAGTTAAAGTAAGTTTAGATAATATCTATATACATTACATGTTCATTTTATTTCCAGTAAAATTCGAGTTGGGTTAATAACAAGTCGGAATGAATTTAGGTCGGGTAAATAACAAGTCGGATTGATTTTGGGTCGGGTTTGTAACAGGCCGGGTTAAATTTCGAGTCGGGTTAGTAACAGGTTGGGTTAAATTCGGGTCGGGTTAGGAACAGGTCGGGATACTAACAGGTCTGGTTAAATTCGAGTTTTGAGGGTTAAAACAGGTTTGGGTCAATTTCGATTCAGGTCGGATTTGGTTCAGGTCAATAATTTAAGGGTTACATTCGGGTCGGGTCATCTCCAGGTCGGTTCATGTTTGGGTTCAAGTCTCAAATACTCGGGTCTAGGGTTGGTTTCAGGTCGGGTTCGGGTCACCAATTTTTGAGTTCAGATGGGCCGGTTAATAATCGGGTTCGGGTTGGTATTTCAGGTCAGGTCAGCTTTTGACAGCTCTAGTATAGAGTACTTCGTAACTTTATAATGAGTGTATAATACATCTCCTTACAGTTAAGGTGTCAAACCCATATTCAATTCGACCCGAAAAATATTCGATTCAAATTTTAAGGGCTGGAATCTCTGACCCGACCTGATAACCCGACCCCAAACCCAGCCTGAAGCTACAAAGAGAAACCCAAACCCGACCCGAACCCGAACAACTCGACTTCGATCTAATTTGTCACATGTCAATGTCATTTTTTTCCTCCAAAAACCATCTTCCAAAAATAAATAAATTCTAACTTTATTTTTCTTTTTATATCTTATTGATAACAACTTATTTAAGTCAATAAAATCATATTCCATGTATATTTAATCTATATATTATAATTAAACTTAACGATTTTTTTTTACCCTGATATATTACAATCACATGGATTTAATTTATCCTACGAAATAAAAATAATAATAATAAAAAAAAAAACGTTACATTGTTTCAAATTGACTTTAACACATCTATTAACTATTATTGAAACAAAACGTTGATGATGTCATCAAATTCTTAAAGTGCTTACGTGTCAAACTCTCATAAGAAATTTTCCCTCCAAATTTTACCAATGATGTCATCATTTTTTTTTTGTGCTTACGTGTCAAACTCTAATAAGAAATTTTCCCTGCAAATTTTACTTATAATGTCATCATTTTTATCACCGTGTATGACTTGGGGCCTAATCTTGTATTATATTTATAGTTTCTTAACCCAGCCTGAAGTCGACCTGAAATCTGACCCGAATCCAACCTGCTGACTCGAATTGCCACCTCAGCCTTTAAATTTTGATTCGTATGAACACAATAATTTAATACGTAGTATGACTCAACTTTAAAAATGGACCCGATCTGAACATCCGAAGTGATACCTCTAACTACAATAAATATATTGTATACTTTTTAAAAATTTGCAAATTACAGTCATTTAAAGTTCGTATTTTGCAAATTGCAGTCATTTTAAAAAAATTTGCATATTGCAACCCAAAAGTTCGTATAAATTGTAAATTACAATCTGATTTAACTTTTTATCGGTTTACATTTCAAAAAATCTTCGATTACGGTTTTACAGGCTATTTTAGTTCTTAGGGGCCCGAATTGAGCTCAGAATTAGCAAAACAAATAGTGACAATAGCTCGTTTAGCGTAACAAAAATATATCGCTTTGTGGGAAACTGTAAAAATAAAACACTTATATTATATTTTGATATTGTTCAAATTCCCGTTAAAAAAAAAAAAAAAAAAAAAAACGCCTAAAGTGCACAAAACTCCTCACTTGCTCCTTCTGTCCAAAAAAAAAAAAAAAAAAATCCTCACTTGATCCGTGTGTACTGAGAAAGTAATCATCTTCCGCATTCTAGTATTCTACGACTCAGAGCATCAAAGTGTAAAAATAAAGATTTAATAATAAAAAAAAAAGTGTAAAAATGAAGATGACAACTAAATCTGGTAATCTTCTTCCCTGCAATTCTTTCTTTAATTTCTTCACTTTTTTAATTGGATTTCGTTGTTACTCTAATTGCACTAAATTTCTTGCTGTTGATGTTGATTTTGATGACCCCAAATTGTTTCTCAAATTTGTTAGACAGCAATCAAAATTAGGGTTTACTAATGCTGAAATCCCCCTTTTTCTTTTCGATCATATGAAATTGATTCGCCCACTTCCTGATATTGTCGATTTCAATCAACTGTTATCATCCATTTGTAAGATTAAACCCAACCCACCTTTCTCCACTGTCATTTCTCTTTACAGAGACCTCCTTTTCTTAGGTCTTCGTCCAAATAATTATTCCCTTAACATTCTGGCTAATTGTTACTGTCGCTTAGGCTATGTTCATTTTGGGTTGTCCCTTGTTTCTTATACCATTAAGCTTGGTTATCAACCTGATATTGCCACCTTTAATACCCTCATTAACGGCTTTATTCACTCTAATCAACTGGACAAAGCCGTTCCTTTATTGGATAAAATTCTCAAGCTTGGCTACCAACCCACATTAATCACCTATGGCTCTATGTTCAAAGGTCTCTGTAGGTCCGGTGATAATGCCTGAAAGTCAAGGGAATTTCCCCTGATGTTGTCACCTATACTACCTTAATACGTGGTATGTGCACTTTGGGGCAACAGAAAGAGGCCCAACAAATGCTGACGGAGATGTTGGGGAACAACATACCTCCTACCACTGAGACCTACAACATGTTGATTGATATGCACTGTAAAGATGGCAAGGTTGGTGAAGCACGGGACATTTTTGAATACATGATTAAGAGAGGATTGGCTCCTAATATCATCACTTACAGCGCTCTGTTAGACGGATATTGTTTACGTGGTGAGATGGATGAGGCAGAAAAGCTCATGGATTTGATGGTTGAAAATTGTTGTAAACCTAATGTAATTACTTACAGCAGCTTAATCAATGGCTATTGCAAGTTTAAAAAGATAGACAAAGCTCTTGGTCGTTCAGGAGATGATTTTTAAAGGATTAACCCCTAATGTTTCCACGTATAGCTCTCTTATCGATGCCATGTGCAAGGACAATCAGCTCGAGCTTGCACGCCAATTTTTCAAGGAAATGGAAGCTCATGGACTAACGCCAAATGTAATCACTTGGAATTCATTGCTTGATGGCATGTGTAAAAATGGACAAATTGACGAGGCAATTACAATGATGCAGCAAATGGAAAATTCTGGAGTAGTCCCTAATATTGTTACATACAGTATTCTAATGGATGGTTTGTGTAATGCTAAGCGCCTTAGAGAAGCGGTGGAGATCTTCTCCGTTCTTACAACTAAAGGGCTGCATGATGTGCGTGCTTACACCATAATGATAAAAGGGTTTTGTAAAGAAGGGTTGCTAGCAAAAGCTGATGAATTATTGAAGAATATGGAGGACAATAAATGCTTTCCAAATGAATGCACCTTCAATACAATTATAAGAGGATTTATAGATGGAAAGGATGTTAGGAGAGCTTTAGAGCTTGTCAGCTTAATGAGAAACAAAGAGTTTGCTGCTGATAATCACACAATATCATCATTGGTGAGCTTACTCACTGATCCAAATATCAGTGGTGCAGACAAGGATTTGTTGAAAAAGTTTTTGAGAACTGAGTTAGCTAGATTTTGGAGCAAAGGTGGAAGAAGCAATGACTAAAGCATAATGATAAGCTGTGACCAAAATGTGAAAACACACATTGTGAGTGAACATTGTGAATCTGTAAGTCATATATTTAATGTGTTTTGATTGTTTGTAGGCAAAAACCTTAATGCCTGTAATTTGGAACATATGAAACAAATGTCAATGAACATACCAGTCATTTAGACATACCAGTCATTTAGTCATATATTTAATGCCTGTAATTTGGAACATATGAAACAAATGTCAATGAACATACCAGTCATTGTTTGTAGGCTCACTTGGTCTTCTGCAAGTTCATGGTGAAATACAACTTAACTATTTCTCGATGAACGTACCAGTCATTTAGACATACCTACAAAGGAGGAGCTTAAGGTTGGTGATATATTTCATGTGTAAAACCTTTTTTTTGTAATAGAAAAGAACTCAGGATGGAGAATATTCTGGTCAACACATTCCAAGGGTAAATTCTGTTTATTGGCTGGTTTTAGAAAAGAACTCTGGTACGTCTGATGGTGAACCCCATTCTTCAAAATTAAACCTGATCCTGATCTGCAGATCAAATGTATATATAGTACATTTGTTATAGATCCATCAACAAGCAAGGATGCCTAGTTTTATCTGGATCAGAGCTGCATTGACGTGGAAAAGTTGTTGCTTAAAGCTATACGATGCAACATATATACACGTTTACTTGAAATTCATAAAGAGCATACTAAGAATGGTCAAATCTTTTGAGGTGCTATTGATGTTCACCTTCAGGGTATCATGGATGAAATTGGTGTAAAGAAGGTTAGTATAACATGTTTTGTCTGTTTTATCTCTTTGCAGGGTGTGTTGGTAGTGTATACAATGTATGATGACATATACCAATTCAATAGCGGGGGGGGGGGGGGGGGGTGGTAAGGACCTTGACCCCCGACTTTTTTTTTATTTTAGGTTCAGGCTCTAACTCTCTAAGTCCCTGTTCTTGCTATTTATGGCTGAACTTAAGTCATTTTTACTGACCTAAAAGTATTTTTTTTGTTTAACTTTTATTATTATATCAGATTAAAACTTAATGTTTTAAATTCTCTACTACTTTGTTTGAAAGTTTCAAGTAAGTGCTTTTTACTAATTAAAACTTATTTTTGCTAAGGGTTCGTTTGGTATTGTTGTGGTTTTCTATTTTTTGGTTTTTTGTTTTTTAAAAGTATATGATATGTGTCCCATAATGATTCAAAATTATATAAACTTATTAAAATCATGATAATTTTGAAAACTGACAACAGAAAACTAGAAACACCTTTTTTTTTTTGTTTCCCGTTTTTGGTTTTTGGTTTTCAAAAATAGAAAACTGAAAACCAAAACTGATGCCAAACAAGCCCTAACAACTTGTTTTTCTACTAAACTTAATTTAGCTGATTATTTTTTCTTTGGTTGAGAAGGACAGGGCCCAATAAGGTCAGGTTGGGGTGGGTTTTTAAGTTGGGCATAGGCGGGTTATGCTTGATGATTCCAAAGGAAAATAACTCACAGGGTCAATCTTCATGTGCTGACATAGGAAACAGTTGTAGCCTCTTAAATCTTGGGTATTGAGTTTAAGCTCACTTAATGACTTTGTTTCAATATTCAATGTAATATGTATGGGGAAAAAATATAATAACAATTTAATTTCACTCTTTCACATGAATTATAGGTGGAAGATCTGACTACAACACTGATAGGTTGGCTTTTGATTCCTCTGGACAACTTCTTTCAAATTTTCAATATAGAGAGGAGACAAGGACAGTGATTGGAAAAAAGATAATTGAGGGCTGTAGGCTCTATTCTTCTAACTGAAAATCTCATTTCTCACAAGGCTGGGTCACTCGACCCTTTTCCCTCTCAGTTTGTTGCTCACTTAGTTGCACAAATCTGCCATGCCCCGTTGCAGAGGCCTTTATTGCAATAAGTGCTTCGGATAAAGCCATCAAGCATATTTATTAATCTGTGCTTTACTGATTCTCTGTAATTTTTTATTAAGATACCCTCACTGTGATCACACTCAGCTCTTTGATGAGGGATCTCAAAAATGCTGTTAATGAAAGGTTCTTAATCGTGTATATAGCATCAAGTTGATGGTATATAGGGTCCTAGTGATCTTTGTTTTGTAATTGAAAAGGAAAGAACACATGTAGCTGTGACGGGAATTTTTATAGCATATCTTAGTTTCAGTTTTCTGCGTACTTAGCTTAGAACTTGAGAAAATAATTTATAGAGTTTGTAAAAAAGCAATTTGATTTTTTTTTTTTTTAAATTAAATGTTCTTTTTGTATCCCTCCTTATCCCTACAATCAAATCAGATAAGAATAATACTCTTTAGTTTTTCAAGGAAATGGAAGCTCATGAACTAATGTCAAATGTAATCACTTGGAATTCATTGCTTGATTGCTTGTGTAAAATTGCACAAATTGATTAGGCAATTGCATCAGTGAAGGAAATGGAGAGTACGAGAGTTGTCCCTGATATTTTTACGTAATGTACCTTAATGGACAGTTTGTGTGAAGCTAGGTGCCTTAACGAAGCAGTGGATATTTTCACTTCTCTGGCGACAAAGTGCTTACAACCTGATGTGGTGTGGTCAAGGTCAATATAATTCTAAAAAGATATTGCAAAGAGGGTTTGCTGGATAAAGCTACTAAACTTCTAGAGGAGATGGAGGACAACGGATGTTCACCTGATGAGTGTACCTGCAACACTATTATTAAAGGATGGGATGTCAGCATGGCTATGGAACTACTCAGCACTAAAGGGTTGCCGCGGATGCTCACACAACTTCATAACTGATCACGCTGTAAGTGATTCAGACAAGGCTTTGCTTTGAAAGTATTTCGAGATATGAATTGTTAGGTATTTGGCCTTCAATAATTTTGAATTGTGGTTCATGCATATATTCTTCTTTTCTTGTTATATCTACCCTTTTAGTCTTTTACTTGTGTTTCCTAGAGCTGAGGTTGAATATGAACCTTGAGATTATAATCCACACTGTTTTTGAATTGGTGGAATATTGCATTTTGAGGGCTTGGCAATATCATGTTTCATGCATAACTTTTTTCAGTGATTGTTGCATCAAGTTTTCTATACTTTTAAAGTCATATTTGGCAAGAAGTGTTGAGACAATAATTTCTGATATTTGCAATTCATCTGAGACTTGAAGTTTCTGTAGCTCCTGAGAGTGGTGAGTAATCAATAAATTGAATATAGTTGTTTGAGATGGTTTGCTTGATTCACCTTTTATTCAGTAATAATACTCAGCCTAATGGAACGAAGTAACCCCGACTAGTCGTCTATGCCTAATGGAATGAAGTAAACCATCATCGGTTCAGGATACATATCATTTGGATACTAACAAATGGTTTGGTGTCTAAAACCTCAAATTCATTCATGTGCTCTCCTGTCTCAATGCATATCACAGGACTGCTGGTGGCAGTCACAGCGCTCACTGCACTAAGAGCACCACCTCCCTTTGCATGACCATCCAGTTTAGTATAATCATGACTCTTAACAGCCTAACAGCAACACTAAAGGCTTGAGCTTGATCGAATACAGATTGACCAATGCTACTATCCATGACGAGATCATAGAGTTCCTTTTTGAATCTTTCCATACCTTCAACGACAATCTTCACTGGATTTGATTTCGTGTAATTATTTCAAATTCATGCTTAACTTGTTAATGCATAACATTAAAAGGAATTTTAACGATAGGGATTAGATAGAATGAATATACAAGTGTATAATACCTCTTATAGAAGGGAATGTGGTGGTTGATTAACATAAAATTAACACCAGCATCACGAAGAGCATAAATGATCTCACTCAAGCATTTCATGAGTACTTTCTGATCAATCACATTTGAATTATTTAGATTTTGGAGAGCACAAGGTACGCTCCCACTTAATTTTGATAACACTATTATTGCACTTATTTGTTTGTTTCAAACTCCAAAATTCCAGTGTTTTTTACGGACAAACACTAGTTTACTCCTCTTTATCCGATTATGTGAAGCTACATTATACGGAGTACGAAATACGTAGTACGTAGTATATATATTCTAGAGGTGATTAACAATGGTCCGGCCCGATCTAGCCTGAAAATAGGGCGGGTTTGGGTAAGTCAAAAAGCAAATTTTTAGATAAAAGCCCAAACCTGACCCAAAAAAGCCCGTTTTAACCCGATAAGCTCGCTACTTTTGGGCAGATTTGAGCAGGACATTTGATATTAAGACCCGTCCTGGCCAGACCCAAATTTATGATCACCTCTAATATATTATAATTTTCTGACAAAATTATGATTTTATATTATGCTTAATCCCTTATAAATTATAATAGAAAGGGGTTAATGGGTTATAGAAAGTCGTCAAAGTCAAAGCGATAAACTACGAAGCACACTTGAATTTCAAATGAAGATAAATCTCCCGTGAAAAAAAAAATAAAAAAAAATAAATCTTCATCTTTTTCTTCCCCTTTGGAGTTTTTCACTTCAGTCATCCCCTCTCTCACTTTACTCCATTTGAAGCGCGCACTCTAAATTCTCCATTGAAGCGGCTTTTTCTACTTCATCGAAGAAGTAGATTCTGAGGTAATATGTTTTTATCAATCATCGAATTTCAATTTCTCAATCTAGGGTTTAGTATCACTTATTGTTAATTTAATTGTTTGCGTAATCAATTTAGGGTTCTTCTTTGGTGGATTATTGAACGATTTGTTATAATTACTGCAGTTTTGAAAAATTATAATGAACGATTTTGTAGCTAGTATTTTCGTATGTGCAATTTTTGGTTGATATTCTTAAGCAAGATGAATTATGTGTGATTTTTGGAGCCTAAATTGATAATTGAGTCAAATGTAGTTGCAAATATGTTGCAAGCTTAGTTTATAACCCTTTAATGTTAAGAAGGAACTATGAAAATGGATCTTTACTTCCTAGGCCGAGGGCGGCTGCCCCGGCTCTGGGACGGGCCTGTTTACCATCCAATGATAATGACATAATGTGATTGCGGTTGATGATAGGCAACCTAAACAAGAGATGAATGGGGGTTCGTCCACACACCGAGAACTCGAACGCCAGATTGGTGCAATCAAGGCTGTTTCTGAAATGGAAGTTGAACATCTCCTTACTGAGCTGCAATTGATTCGTTCATATTTTAATGAGGAACAATTGCAAAAACCTGCCCTGGAGTTTTTTAGGGAGAATCTTCCTAATGTTTCAGTAGTTAGAAATGATGAGGATGAGCATTTTGATCTAAGATGGAAAGATGATGATGGTAATTTGTCCATGTATAACCCTAGTGGTAGAGATATTCATGCCTCCCTTTTCCAACACATGGGTATGGCTTATCCTGCCTGTTCTGATGCGAGGCAGTCTTTTGGTGGATTTCAGTTTTCGGGCAAGGCTCTGAAAAGCCTTGTGGGTGTTGATGATCTGCAGATGGGGACATACTTGACTCAAGAGTCACTTAATAACATGATGCTTGGGATACCAGATGGTCTTCAAACTCCTGGGGCTGAAAGCCAGAGATTGTCTGTGGGGATGACACCTAAAACCCGTAGATTGCCTAAACATGGAGAGATGCTTCTTTCTGTACATGGGTCCCCCCTCGGTGTCTACAAAGAAGATAACATGGAAGCTATACGCGAGTCAGAAGAAGGCTGACTTATATATGTTCTTTGTTCTTCATCCAGAAGATATAGAAATGCTTTTTGTTACTACTGGAAGTTGTGCTTTCCAGCATTGACATAAAGCAGCACTAATCTCCTAATATGGCTCTGCAATGAAGTTTTCAGTTTATTTACAATTTGTCAATGAATTTATTCATCCAATGCTTGATTGTAAAAAATATATCCTAAGCAGGTCTAGTTCTGTAATCCACCTTAAGTGTTGTAATAGTGTATGGTACTATGGTATACTTTGTATCCGTTCAGATCAATGAATCAAGTTTTTTCCTCTGCTAGTGAGACTTGTTTGCTACAAATAATCTAATATACTGCATTTTATATATGAAACTTAACCCTTAGAGAAGATTGGCTAACTTGATTAGAGTTCAAATTTTGTTGTCTCTGAGGCCCTGTTTCTTTGGGTTCATTGTTTGATTCAGCTTTTTGCATTCTTAAGAGCTTGGTTTCTGTTGATAATTGAGAAGCTTTTGTGGAACTTGGAGGTGAATTTATGTAGAGTGAAATGCTGTTTATAGCAGGTATTCCTAACAATTTTCTTTTTGTGTGAATTGAATTATATACAATCATATAATAATATGAACTAATGACGCCCTGGTCTTCTTTCCATTATTGTTTTTTTGCTTTTAATGGATTGTTGCTAATGTAGTTGGTTTAACATATTATGGAGTAATATGCTGGCTGTTGCTACATGTATAAAGTATCCTTGACTGAGCTAGGCTGCTACCTCTTTCCCCTAATCTGTAACAAAGTGAGTTTGAGTAGAGTATGTGTTTGGTTTGGACTTTCAACAAAAGCCATTCCCAATTTCACTTAAAGTTGTGGTTGGATGCAGGTGGCAAAAGAATATATTCCATCGCCATGACAAGCTATCATGTGGCGTGTGGCACAAGTGCACAACTAAGGCTACACAAATACTGAATACAGGTATGTGCTCTAGTGGTGGAATAGCATTATTGGAAAGCTCTGTACTTGTGACCCAATTTGACAATTCTTAATGTTGATATCATGCTTGGGTGCTGTATAAAACGTGGGATCTTTTACTTTTTAAAGTTTATTCATGTCAATCTTTTGGCTTGATCTCCAAATTTTTCTATTTATCTATGATATATGCATGTATACTGCGCAATTAATGTGTGAAGACACTTGCCAAAAAACCTAGGATTATGTGTTTGTTCTGTTGTACACAAAATCTCTATGTTTATTGTTTAAAGATATTGGTATATAGCTTTGGTTAGGTTATCTAACTCAATTGGGCTGAGCAAGATTTCAGAGTTGTCATTTATCTGTAGCTAGTACAATTTGGTTATCTAACTCAATTTATTTCCATAGTTCTACTTTTAACTCAAGACGAAGGAAGAAGTTTTTTTTGTTGCCCTCTATGGGTGAATTGGATGATCATGATGTAAGCCACCCCTGAAAATTTCTTGGTTTTGTCTCTCATATATATGTAGTGCTTATATTACTTTCATACAATCTATAACTATGCAAGAGGGGAAGGAAATGCGCTCTTTGTTATTGTATTTTAGCTACACTCAACCCTGTTGTGTATGGAGTTATGGGAGCTACCGGGGGGGGGGGGGGTTGCCCGGCTCTTTGATTTCTGTGATAGAATTGCCTGCAATAATTTTAGGGCTGATTACATAAGTACATATCCTCTTTCTGTTCCTCCTCAAGAAAGATGTAATGGTATGCAATTAAAAGTTGTTGCACTCTCTAAGTACTAGCCTACTAGGTGTCTATTGCAATGGCATCTAGCCATCTAAATTGTGCTATTGACAGCTAATCAGCCATACACAGTTTAGGATATTGGAGGGCATAACATTTGATGGGTGATGCATATATTTACATTATGTAGTTAAAGTTTCTATGTCTAATAGCTTTAGGCATTATTTTACATGAAAGCACTATTAAGTTCTAACTGTAATTTGTCCTGAATAGTGAATATAGAATGGTAATTCTGAAGAATTGCAATACTGAAGGGAGTCAGGGACATACCTTAAATAGCAATAACTAAAAGTAATGTAATTGTTAAAAGTTCAATATTATATATCGAATAACAATTTCTAAAACAAATCCATCAAGTAAAATTTTACAACTATACATGTTAGATCAACAAAGTGTGTGTATATTACTGATCAAAGTTTAATGAATTTAACTTTTGACTTCTCATTAAGGTCAATTTAAGGTCATTTTGGGTAGGTTAGAGTAGCATTCTCTTGGTTAGTAGGACATACTTGTGGATCTCATTCATCTCAAATTCAGGAATATCTAGAGTGAGGTGAGTTTCTTAAACTCTTACCCAATAATATTCTTGTATGCAATCCTAGAGGCCTTTCACAGGTGTAAAATGTGTAGGCATTTGAAATTCTATAATTTCTATATTCTGTTGGGCATGAAAAATATATGGTAGTGACTTTTGGTATGGTAAGTTGGCGACTGGATGTATTGAGCTTAATTAATTGCTGAGTATTGAAATACATTTCCGTACTGTTCCTTTGTAACAAAGACTGAAGTTTGCAGGTATTACAGGACTGTAGTTTCTAGGTATATGTCATCACTGTCTTACATCTGGAAAACGCCAAAGCTGTTCAGTGAATTGATTTCTTATCTATGGTGGACTCTTTGTTGGGATTGATTGGGTGATCATGAGATTGCATAGAAGATTTTGCATTATGAGGACACGGCTTTGTTATTGTAGTTCTTATGTCAATGTCAGAATTGAAACCCTTGTCTGTTTCAGACACTTGAGCTCTATTGCTCCCCATACCTCCAAATATTTACACATTTGGATAAAGAATATCTTAATATACTGTTCTTGACAGTCTGTCGTTTCTTCCGAACCTCATAATATCAGTACTTTGTTTGAGGGTCCATTTTCTTTTGCAATTATGTGAGATTTTTAAGATCTTAACCCCCCCCCCCCCCCCCCTTTTGATTTTTTTTTATTTCCTGCTGAAGAGTGCTAAGATTTATCTGCTACTTCAAGATAAAGGTGGTTAATGAAAGCGATTATCTCATCTTTAACATGCTGGGTCGTGATGCTTGTTTTATTTATCTATGTACCTCCTTTTCTGGTTGATGACTATATTTATATTGAGATGATAAAATGTAACAGGTCACTTGGCACTTTGAAGCATTGTTAGGAGGATGGGACATTCCAATGCATACCTTAAAAGGTGACCTATCAACTCTTGATCTATGTATAATACCTGAAAGTTTTTAAGGGGCTCACCAATATCAATAGAGAGAGGGGGTATGAATATTAGTTCTAGAAATGACTTAGACACATGGGCTGTATTGAAAAGTGCCTTGCAGATTCTTCTGTGCCAAGATTCATGATTGATTATTTTGCAAAGCTTGAATAAACTACTTAAGCAATGATTTCTCTCAATAATTTATCTTGTTTTATCATGTAAGGGGCTTTAAGGAGCAGCATTCTTTCCTTCTGCCTTTCTCGAGAATGCATTTGATAATGATCTAAGGAGTGCTGACATGTTTGAATCATTATAGATTTAATTGACTCCATATTATAAAGAAAAGTAAAGTAACATTAATTAAATATATTGGTTTTCTCTTTAATCTTCCACCATTCATACTAGTCTGCGTAAAATTATAACTATTGAAGCTGCTGTAATGATTTCATGGACTGAATGGGGATTGTTTTCTATGAATTTTAAAAATTAGCATATAATCATGATTTCCACTTCTTTTCATTAATTATACCTGCTAATCATATGAACTAATTTTTGACTTTGCTCAGCGATGAGACTTGATGATCAAGTGAATTCAGATCAGTGAAAGTAAGTCTACTGAACCTGAGCTTCTGATCTGATGCTCTGTTTCTGTATATTTTTATAATTGAAAGATCATTCAGATCTAATTCCTGGATTCTGGGTAAATTCTTGTAGGTTCTTTAGGGTGTTAGATTAGTTTATTAAATTCTACCAAGTACAGGTCTATGGTTTTCTAAAGTGTATTCAGGTGGACAATTACCCAATTGATTATAATCTTTTTGCATGAAGCTGTCAACTTTATAGTCAATGCCAGCAATGACTCCTGTTGCTGTCATCATTCCTGTATCCAAGTTTGGAGAGTTTGCTGCTATGATTCCATCCTTTATTTTTAACCTTCATTTTCTTGTTCGATTTTTTAACATTAACATGATTTTGTTGCTTTGCACACATTTCTTCTGACGTGTATAAGACGCTTTTATACCAACCTTTATTTTTTTAGATACACCCGAGTGTATAATAGACATGTTGACATGTTGCATTTAAACAATTCATGAAATAAGGGCCTAAAATGAGTATTTACAATATCTGATGGATCTAAATTGGATTACCTAAATACAACTCGTCGAAATTCAGATGTACATGTGGATTGTACTTTGAGTGGTAGGGTTAAACAGCGAAGAGTTCCATTGTAATTGCAATGTTACGACAAGTACTATTATGTCTTACAACTTATGGACAAGATTGTGACTAGAAAAGAAATGTTTAAAGATAATTTATTTCTGATAAACCTACCTATTTTGGAAAGGTATATATCTTTTGAATTTGCTTCATTTTGCTTGTTTTAATTGAACTATTGAAGCCAGACCAAGATTCTCAATTCAATCCCAAACAGTTGTAAAACTTGTACCAAGTATTTCTTTTTTGTTTTGATACACTCTCACTTATTATAACGTGCCACCATTCTTTTTTCCTTTTTATTTTATTTTATATTTATAATTATTTTTAATATTTTATGTTATGTTTATTTTTTAGATTTCATTTTGTTGTATCCCACTAAGTGTTGATATTTACTAAATTTGATGTTAAACTCTAATAAGACTATAAGAGTCATAAGACATGATAAAAGAGTTACCAAAGATGGTAAGCTCTCTCTTAAAAACAATATTCATTAAAATAAGTAAAATTATCTTAAAGACTATAAATCTTTGAAGTTTTATAACCTTTTTTAGGTATGGTATCATTCGTATGTAACAATCGTAACAATTTTCAAATCTACGAGGACTAAAACACTACATTTTTTTTAACCCCTAATCTAAATGTCACAATATATCAAATTGTGCTAGCTAAATCTTTGTTGTCTAAATTTTGCTTTAAATATTTTAAAATATGTACTGAATATTCTACAGAAGTATAAGATTTGTTAAAATCTGACCTACAAAGGTTTGTAGAATCACGTAATATTTAAAATATTAATCAAGATGTTTTGGCAATATACTTGTATTAATTAGTTTAGACTATTTTAAAATATAATAATACATTAC